ATTTGGAGGTGAAAGGGGTAAATACGGCTGCCAATTTTAGATTGATTGCTCTTCTACAAGAACTACTAAAAGAACGCAACGTCACGTCTCCGACGCAGACAGGTCATTTACCCTCTCTCTGCGCATGCGCGAAATCCCCGCCACAGGAATTCTCGGTTAGGGTTACTATGTTTATGCGTTTATCGCCTACCCGGCGTTTCGACTTCATTAGCCCAATATAGGTCATGGGTTTCCCCGCTTATCGTGGACAGATGATGCGTAATACTTGTAATTTTCTGAAGTAAAAAATGAATTTACATATTTTATTTCTTAATACATATTATTGATATTACAAGAATCTAGTTTTAAGTATTTTTCAATAAAAAGTTCTGTAATTTTACTTTATTTTTCAAATTGGAATTTAATTTTTTAATTTGGAATTACTCTATGTTTTGAAGTCTTCATTCGCTTATTATGTTTAGTTTTAGTCTGTAGAGATTTTGTGCACGGAATAGTAATTAGTGTCGCATACGTAACACTGAAAATGTAATTTAAAACATTCAGTAATTCAAAGACTAAATCAAAATCATTTATTTTGTATCACCTCGAAGAGGCTTCCTTTTCAACTAGCAGTTACGTTTGTCTGCTACGAATAAAGATCAGAAACAAATCAAACATATCAATCGATGATACTTAAGATTTATCTTCGATATTTTGTAAGTCCTTTGTTCATTAATGTTTCTCTATCTGTCCTTCTTTATCGTTCATAAGTGATCACGAAGTTAATCAATAACTATGTACAGAGAGGGAATTCTTCGCCATATATTCTCCACTTTTAAAAATTTCATTCAACTGATAATATATCATTTTTAACATTATTTATTAATTTATTCTATCTACATCATTTTGCCATTAAAAGAAATAAACCTCAGAATTCAATGCCGGAGTTTCTAAAACTGAGGTTATAATCTCAAAAGTATGCTTATAAGGTATTTCTCCCGCCTTCTTAGCATGCCTCCGTCGCGTAATGACCAGCACACTCGGCGGGTATTCGAGAGGTCCAAGGTTCGAATTCCGGCGAGGGCATTGCTTATTTTTCATGTCTCCTGCTTCGAAATAACCTAATGTCTCTACATACGTGAGTAAGTTCTTAATCTTACTAGTTAATATTTTTTATGAGCTAGCAACAGTAGGTACTTCACACAAAAAAAGGAATGAAATATTCGTTTCTTTAAAATATTTAATGATTTGTTAAATAATGTTTTTAGTGTTACATTTTTCTATTAGGTGTTAGGTTGTATTCAGAAGTTATCAAATTACAAACTAATATTTTTCCATCACAAAGGAAGTATTCACCTGACCACTTCCTGTCCTGACAATCAACACATGAACGTGTTTTTAAAATTAAAGGATGGAAAACGAAAAGAACTTAGTATCAGCATTTTCATTTTTTTACATATTAGCACAAGAATTGATTCGAAACAATCACTAAAGAGAATAGATTGTCTTTAGTGATTTTTCAGCAAAATGCTGTATTAATGCAAAAATTTTAACTCAATTTTTTCCGTTGTAGACAAATTCCACAAACTGACAAAAAATATGATTTGTCAATAAAAATTGTTGGTGCCTGGAACCAACAAAAACGATTATATGAAAATGGCGATGTTTCTTGTTAAAACTGAACTGTCATGTGCATGGTTGTTTAAAGAACTGTTATATGCACAGTTGCCAGTGTTTGGTGTATTCTGAATATTTGGCAATTTCTACTGAGGTGATTACTCTAGCACGTAAGAATCTGCGAAATTTACCATGCACTGCTACTATGCCTTTAATTTATCTTTCAGGATTTCTCTTGCATAGCCGATTCTCAAAGTATTGTCATTAGGCAAAGCATAAGATCTTTAATTTATTTTTCAAATTTAATCAGTCTGTTATTAATTGACGAATTAAGTGATTTAAAAACAATAAATGCTTGTAATGACAGTTTCGAAGAGTTAAACTTTTCAGATTGCAATTTATATATATATATATATATATGTAAAATATAAAATATTTATCTTTCACACAATAAATTAATAATAGCCTTTTAAGGCGTCATTTCTAGATTAATCTATGCCAAGAAGCTTGCGTAACGCTGATGACATAGTAATTGGGAACCTAAACTCTAAAACCTGAAACTTTCCTAACTCAAACCAAAACCTTCCTCTTCGCAAGTTTCCATATTGGATAACTACGTACTTTATTTTCTCTCTGTGCGCTGTTTGGACGTAATTTCGCTGGGTTCCCTTCTTATTGCAAAAGCATCAGAAATTTAAATGTTCTGTAAATAGGCACGATTAGAGTGCTAAGTGATTGTGGCTACAAAATCAAATGAAAATAAAAATGGAATTAAAACCGCCTCGACTGCCAAGTTTCTTGGTCATTACGAATTCTCCGATCTAAGTATCAAGTACCTTCGCAATTAGTATTTCTACGCATCTACGTCTCAGTGTTCCTACATCAATACTTCTCTGAAATTTGCTTTTATTACATATACGTATTTAAATTCCACAATTCCAGTAAAACTGTTAATTTGTTCCTCTGTTTTTAATTTTTCGGTTATTTCAATAAAATGGAAAAAAAAAAAAAAAAATGATAAGCATTATATATGTTTAAAGAACGTGTTAAACTAATTTAGATCAATTTAGCTATAGTTTGACTTACTCTGCAATTATGTAGCCTGCAAGGATTAATGGAAAACCTGTTGCATTTTGTGTATAGATTTACTACTTTTTCTTACTACTACTTTTTTGTCCACTGCTGTTACTACTAAATACGCTTTTTGTTCAATCCATAAGCATAAGCTCAAGCATAAAAATGTCTTTTTTCTAGAAATAAAAAAAACTTTTGTGGACTTATAAATTTAAAACACTAAGAAAATAATTTAAAATAGTTTCCCCAGTAAAAGTTAAATAAATATTATCTTGACGTGCAGCCCCACCAGTGCCTAAATGGTTAAAATCGCTGAATATTGGTATTTTGACCTGTTTTCGATCCCAGCTGCATAGCTGTTTTTCGTAATTTTTCCATGAATAACGTGAATGCGAGCCACTTTCCCTCAAAAAGTCCTCCATGAAATCCTCCCTCCTGTTGTACAAACAGCCCTCGTGGCTTTGCCATATACATATAACATCATTTAATTATAAATTATGTACGTATTTTTAGTAGATTACAACACGAAACCAGAGATTTGGGGTAAACCAAAAACGACTCACTTTTTGAAGAAGTCATTAAATATACAAAACTGTTTTCTTCCGTGTTTTAAAATAAGATAACGCTGTATATATCATTAACAACTTTGAAATATTCTCCAGTAGCATCAGATGATCGTTCAAGATAGTCTTACAATATCTTTGATACTTTGGATTTGCCTGGTTCTGGCGTGAACTCTTATCACGCTATTACCAGTACCTCAAAAAGTCCCCTATTGGGGGAGGGGGAACCACGCATAATTACAATGTGTAAACTAATATCCCGGTCTTGGGTGTCTACACTCATAATTAGTGTCCGTATTAAATATGGCTTTAAGAAAAACTTTAGCTAATTTACATTGCTTGATTGCTAAAGCTCATTTGTCTGATCTAGGAAATGCCTTGTGGAAAGGAACGCAAGTTTACGTCTGTTGTTGGCAAAAGCCTTGAGCGCCTTACAGATCAGAGTGTGATTTAGCTCAGCTCCGCCTCCAAGTTTGATGGAAAGCACCCAGGGGGGGAAGGTCCGAGGGTCTTCCATCCCTCTTCCTCTGTCAACAACCTCTCGAGAGGACTTTCGGCTCGCCGCATACTTAGAGCGCCCCCCCATGTCGCACGGATACTATACATTTACAAACATCCATGCCTTTTCCGGGATTTGAACTCGGGACTTTCGGCACGGCAGTCAGGACGCTAGCCACTATACCTGGTGGGTAGTGTGCAAAGTACTATAAAAATATATTACTTTTATTTGCCTACTTCACTTCAGTTAGTTGGCTATTCTGGTGTCTATCAGGAATTGATCCCGCTCTTACCAGAGTTTATTTTATTTACTTTGCCTGTTTAAATGAGTTATTTTTGGAAAATAACAAAGATTAATTTTTCTCCTTGAAGAAAAATGATCCACGCAACCTTTTTTTGAAATGCTCCGACAATCTACGATTTAATTTTGCCTAATTTTAAACGTTTCCTTTGTTAAGTGTTTCTACTTGTGTAATGACGTATAGCACAAGATGCATGTAATAAAATTGTAAATAAGAACTTTTTGTAGTTATTGACATTTGTTTAGATTTACTTTACGTTAACTTCTTAGAAAGAGCATAATTTATGAATTTTTTATTTGTAGATTTTTTCTAGCTAAAAAAACCGACTAGTTGCCAAAATGAATAATAATTATTGAAATACAAATATACGTTTTTTTAAATTCCTAGTTATTCATCTATAAAATAAAAAAAATCTGAAAGATTTTCTTTATAAAACACTGAAATGACGCATAAAAATTCACACTAATTAAATAGTACTATTTGCTTATCTCAGATTTGGCAACGAATGAATACAGCGTCATTTTTGTTTAAACTTGGCGATAATAGACAGTCAAGAATGAGCATATCTATGGCAACCCTTGAAAGCTACGTGAATTTTCTATCACAGACTGCGGCGGAAGGATACAAATGCTTAATATCATTGGCAAGAAGCCAAGTTTATTATTCTTAATAATAACGTAAGTACATAAAGATTTGATCATTCTGTATGAGAGTAAATTCATAGGAAGGTGATTTATAGGCATTTAAGTGAGTTTATAACAAACTAAAGTTGATTTTAGTGGCGATCTACTTTGTTTAGAACATTGATACAAAACGTCTGGCTGTTAGGTCAAACCAAAACAAAGAGAATTGTTGTGGTGTCTTTCTCTGCCGGTTTTAGCTGGAGAGGGAGCTCGTCGTGTTGGTGTTCGTTGATACGAATATATAATTCGTGTTTCTCAGGGATTATAGATACTTACCTACCAGTATGCCTAGCAAGGAGGATATATGTGTTGTTCCAGAGACTTTGCCAGCTAATTTTTTATCTCCAGACGTAGAGGAGTTAGTTGCTGCCATTAAACACAATTTACAGCTCAAAGCCAGGCCTCGCCACAGTATGTGTTCCAAACAAAGGCGGATGTCGCCATATTCAGCTCCCGTACGGACATTATGTAAACAAAGTATGGGTGACAAAGAAAATACATCAGAACATTCCTGTCATAGTTGTAAATATTGCATTTTAAGGTCTAAATCACCAATATCAGATGATCCTTATGAAATGCTACAAGTACTATTAAGGGAAGGTAGCTTAATAAAGGAAGCTGTGAAGAGGTTACAGCTGGGCATAGAAAACGAAAGGTCAAAGAAAACAGATTTTTATGATTTGGATATAGACGAAGTGGATATAAATGTAGAAAGTATTTGAAATATTTTGTAGAATTTTTCATCCATTGAAACTTTGTGTTTGTGCGCGTGAGCATGAGTGCATGAAAAAGATCGTGCTTTGTGGTGTATTTCTTCATCTTTAGTACCTGCTTTTACAAGAATTCCTTGGAATTTTGTAAAGACTTGATAAAATGGATCGTATACTCGCTCCATAAAAATCTCATTGTACCTGCGTTTGGAATTTGGATATTTTGCAAATGCCGTTTGAAGCAGAGAACAACAACCTTGTGTTAAAGCACCTAGCTTTTGTTACATCATCAATTGCTTGAAGGAAATGGATTATATGCCATTTAAAACTTCATTTTATGCTTTTTCAAAAGTGTATGTTGTACACATTTACAAATTGTAGGTGCATATGTTAATCCATTTTGTGCCATTCAGTTAATATTTCTGATAAATTTGAAATTTGATTTGCAACTGTAATGAATAAAGTCAAATTCTTATTCTCTAGAACATTCTCAATATATGAGTATGATAATTAGTTATGAAGGTTTTGGTTACTTTTTTTAATTTAAGCAGTTGCAAGAAATATTTTTATTAATTAAATGTTCAAAAGTAATAATTTCTAAAACTGTGTTTTTGCATATGTATCTATTATTATTATTATTATTATTATTATTATTATTATTTTTGTTCCTTTTCTTGATTTAAAAATATTCTTGATCTGCTTTGTTTATCATCTAATTTAAGATGAAAAATAAGAGGTTTAAATAAGCGGTAAATTTTCTAAACTTTAATATTCTTTAATGTTAATTGCTTTAACATTTTTTAAAAAGGCTTCTTAAAGGTATTAATTTCCTTGACTGTAGAAATGTATGGTTAACTTCATAAACTGAAGATATTTAATTAATTTTATGTGTTAATTTTTTTCATTAAAGGGATAATACTTGTAGCAAGTATAGTTCATTGTATTAAATACTTTGTGAAACACTTTTGTCATGAATTTTGGAATTCATTTATTAAGTATAGCTATAAGCATAACAGGTATGCTAACTAGAGAAGGAAAAAGCCTGCAATCTTTAATATTTATGTATATTTTTGTTTTTTATAAATAAATATTGGGAAATTCGGTACTTTTCCATTTCGCCGGCGCAAATCTCGCCAAGCAGACTTTATTGGCGACATTATTCATCACATAGTAACTAAAGCATTATTATATTGGCAAATGTAAGAATTTTTTCAGTGTCTTAAAAGTTTATTAGGAATACTTTATTAAAATGTATTTATTCTTATGATTTGAAGTAAGCTAAACTGCTTGCTGGATGTTTTTTGCTAAATTAACTTTTTATTAAGAAATTAGGTATTAAAATTTTTGAACAATACATTGTGTCTAGGCTAAGGTGTATAGATTAAGGAAACTTAAAAATTAAGGAAGAAAAAATTTGAATTATGTAACAAACTTAAAAATCCTAAATTATTCTCAATTACTATAAAATTAGTTTGGATATCACTTTAATAGGTAGTTTGCACAGACAAGTTGTTTCTCATATAAAATTAAATTGACAAGTAGTGTCTTAACTGTAGTTCTACTAACCAAAAGTTACCATTATTCTTTCTAGTTCTCGAAATTAACTATTTAAAATATAAAATTTAATTATCTTGGTAGAATTTTACTGGAGAACAACAGTATAAAGATTCCATTTCATAATAAGTGAAGAAAATTATCAGTGTTTTTAAGCATGAAGATGTGAATGTTTTCCATATGTTTGTGATGTACCAACCCACCTAATTTATGTAAATTCCATTTAAATATCTCAAATATTGTGATAAGGAATATTCTCTGAGAAGATTTTGTTTGTTTAGATTTTTGTTGGTAAATGATTAACATCAGCTTTGTGTAATAAGCAATGGATGTAGCTCTCTAAAAGAGAAAACTGTGTCAGGGAGAAATAAATCTTTTTTTTTTTAAACAAATACCTGTGGCTTCTTTCATACTTTCGAATTTTTTTCAATATATAATATATATATATATATACATAAAAAATTTTATTTGGTAAATTTAGAAGTATGGTATGTGTTCATCATAATGCAATCTTTTTCAAGTACAAATGATTACAAATTGGTTATTTTTACTTAAAATATGATGCAGTTTTACTAATAGTTATTTCATTTTATGCACATTTTAAAATACATCAATAAATTGCCTAAAGTGTAGAATTGCCCACTTATTTGATTGTCATTTGTTTGGCACTTTTTACAAGAGTAAGAAGAATTGGATTTTTGTTAATTTTCTTTGACTTTTTAAGTGAAAATAGGTCGATGTGCACATAGATACCGAGTACATGCAATTCTTAAAAACGTGCCGAGAAGTGGGTGATTCTGCACTTTACCCAATAATTTTTTATTTTTCTTTAAATATGAAAGGGAATTTTGAATTTGGCTCCTTTGAGGTGCATAGAACTTGGAATCATGCAGTGTAATCAGTATCAATTTTAGTTAAATTTTATATAAATTTCAAGTTTTCTTTTAAAACCTGAAATTAAATTTATTTGCCGATTCAGATATGTATAAAATCATAATTACTGTGGATTTAAGTAGCATTATTTTTAGTGTAAAATTTGTAAATTTTCAGCCTTTGAACCATTATAAATTCTTACACATACATGCAGCATACGAATTGAAGTTTTTTCAGAAATTTTTAATTTCAAATTATAGTGCTTTAAATGTTTCATTTCTACTTAAGTTTATGAATGTGATAGTGATAGAATTTGCAGTTTACTTTTAACTTTTTGAAGAACAGAAATTGAGATTTACTTACTTCTATAAATGTAATTTCATGCTATGTTGTCACACACACATGGCGAATGAATTGCACCTTTTTATAAAATTGTTCATTCAGAGTTTCTTTTAAATCTAATTAAATTATATGAGTTCCATAAATGTAATATTTTTATATGTGATATAATTTTTTCATGGAATTAGTCAACATTTTGAGAAAGAACTAATGTTTAAAGTTGATACAAATATTTCTGATTTCATATAAGAATTTTCAGAGTGATGCTTGAGGTCAAAATGATTATTATTGGCAATTATTGTTTTTAAGTTGTTCAACTTCTTAATTAATAACAAATTTATTAATTTTGAAAGATAAATTAATTTTATCAGATGGTAACATTCTGAGAATCTATTATGGGGAATTTATTATCCAAATAAATTAACTGAAGGGCATAAAATAGTAAATGCATGCTAGAGACTGCTTCTAAATTCTTTTCATTGTATTTGTATGCCAGTTTTCAGTGCATTGCATTGTGTTTACAGATTTTATTTTTCCAATGTAGAATTTTATATATTAAATTAAACAATGCACCTTATATATTAAATTAAACAATACACCATCTTCAAGGCATAGGAAACGGAAAAAGAATCATGAAACAAGTGTAATCCAAAATATACAGATACATTGGTCACTAATCAAAGAACTGAGTAATATTGCCATTACTTAGGCGTAATTATTAGAAAAAGTGTTTTATTCTATTGGAATAATGTGCATTATATTTTTTCTTAGAACTGGCAGTGGAGAATTATCTGGAGAGCAGAGGCAAAACTTTTAACAAGAATATGAGCAGATAAGAGTCTGCTATGTATATTTTAACAGTTGCTTATGTGAATAGAGTATCTTTGCTAATCACAGTTCACAGTTGGATGTTGTTATTTGTCGAAAAAGTATTTTACTTTAACCGTTTTCTGCTGTAGTGACTAAATTTAAGGAGATTGGTGCCCTTTTGAACCTAGTATCCATTATTGAAATTTGTAATTTGTCAAAGTTTTCATTATATAAACTAACACATAAAAGTAATTAGATATATTTAAATCATCTTTAATTAATAATCAATTAACCTTTCACTGCTACTTATTAAATATAAGCATATTTTAAGTGGTTAGTAATTAAAAAATTTAATTGGAAGTACATTTTTTAATATAGTTTTATATTTACATTCACAAAAGTACTGCAACATTGATTTTGGATGCTGATGGGTTTTGGGGAGCAGAGGGCATTTCTAAATTCTTAGAGTAGAATTGTGCCATGATAACTTTTAAAAAAGAATTATTTTGAATTGTAATTTTTTATCTGATAATTTTGACTATGATGGTATTCTTACTAACTGCAAAATACTGGGCATTGGGAAAAACATACATTGAAGCATATAACAACAACCAAATATACTTTGCATGCTCCATGAGAAGAATTTTTTAGACATTGATACAATATATGGTACTAAATAATTTTTGTGATGAGAATCCAGAACATCTACTGGTTGGTGCTCAGCAGTCTTGTCCAATTGACCCTTGGAGGGCCATAATTTAGCTAGCCTGTTAATTTGAAAGAGCATACAAAAAGCATTTATGTGTCATAAATCATATTACAACAAGAAAATTAATCTGGACACTTCAGATTGGAAACATTAAAAATTACTTTAAATTAAGAAATGTAAAACATCATAAAAGTTTTAATAACAAAGATTTTATGCTAAGTGGCATGATACCTAGAATAGTAGGAAATTTTTTCTAATTACAGCAAGACTGTGAATATTCATAAAAAGGATCAGTTGGGTAAATAAGAAATTATGTTAAGACACAATAACACGCCGAACAAATACTAATTCAGAAGTCAAGAAAAAAAAAAAAAATCAGCATTATATTTTCAACAGTGTGAAATTCTGTGAAAATTTGAAAATATAACGCTGATTTTTGTTGTGTGACTTCTGAAGAAATTATGTGTTTTTATTTTTGTCTATAGATGCATTATTAAATATTTAAATTATTAAAAATTGTATGGTTTAAAGATCTTAAATTTTGCTGAATAAGAATATATTATAACCTTGTTACTTGTGAAACTAATTACAAATTTCTTGTAGGTATTTCTATCAGAATTCTAAATTCAGAAAAAAAGGTTTCAGTTACCTTTTTCCTTTCAAAGGTTTTTAACATAGGTCAAGTTTGCGTAGACAAAATTTTGAATGAACTATACATGAAATTTCT